AAAAAATTAATGTTCCGTGTAGTTGTCAGGGACAGATCAGAGGCTTCAGCCCTGCCTGCTAAGGGAATGAACACAGGACCCTGTGAAATAAGGACTCTGTGAGAACTGGCTTGGCAAACACCTTGACCTTGAAGCCAGGACCTAGTGAAAATCCTGATGTAGGACTGTACTTGGAGATAATTTTGACACATTCTGAGACATGCTGACCTGGAGGAGTGTCAGAGCAAAAAAGTATTTGTAATAGATCTGTCTCTGCTCATTAGATAAAACTGAAATAATTGATGCCTGAGACCCAAGGATGGACGGACTGAGTAGCTAATTAGAAAGTTGCTTGACCATCTGTCTCTAGAGCAGCAACCCCTTCCCATTTGAAAGTGTCATATAAAAACTAAGTGCTTCCCTAGAAACACGAGGGGTATCTTATCTATACTTACGGTATCCCTTCTCATCTCACAAGGACCAAGTGTATCTTATTTTAAGGTGGTCCCTTCTCAACTCATTTCTTTTGAAGTGATTCTATGCTGTAATAAAACTGTGGCTTAACTCTTTGCTGCTGTTGCTATGTGTGTGTGTGTGTGTGTGCTTATCTCTGGATATTAACCACCACATGGGTTTGGAGCTTGCTAGCTCCCCCATGGGCAACAGCCCAGGCATCAAACTTCACAATAGTGCTGTGCTACTGAGATGGAATCAATTAATAAATATAGCTAGCCATTAATTCGTAAGCCATAATTGTGGTGCTGGCAATGAATATTGAAAAAACCAAAAAAAAAAAAAAGAAAATACCATGGGCCGGCAAAGGATAAACAAATTTGTCTTGGAAGAAGTATGGCTAGAGTGCTTCTTAGAGTCAAAGACGGCACAAGACTTGGTCTCTTGTACTTTGGACATGTCAGGAGAAACCAGTCCTTGGAGAAGGACACCGTGTTTGGTAACGTAGAGGGGCAGTGAAAACAAGAGGGAGGGCTTAAATGAGATGGACTGACCCAGTGGCTGCAACAAACTAAAGGACAATTGTGAAGATGGTACAGAACCAGGCAGTGTTTTGTTCTGTTGTGCAAAAGGTCTCTGGGCTGGAACGGACTTTTTGGCAGCTAACAATAACAATAGCCACACTCCCTTTTGGAGGGAGTTCTCTCACAGGATTAAGGGAGGATCTATCCTTAGTCCCTAGCTTCCTAGAAGGGCTTCATGAATGGCTAATGGCAATCCTAAAAGCACTTCATAACATTGCACTCGCAGGGCAGAGGCCAAGGGGCTGCATGGCTGAGACCAAAGACCAGAGAGAGGCCTGCCTGTGTGCACAACTGCAAAGAAGTTGTCCTATCTGAATAATTATTTCCTGAGTATTTGTAATCTGTTAATTAGCTTAATAAACCCCATAATCAGTAGTATGTTCATGAGTTCTGTGTGGCCATTGCAATGAATTCTCAAAACCAGCTGAGAAGTAGAGCATGCCTCAGGAGGGACACTGGTGTCAGAATTGGTAAGAAGGTTGGAGGGCAAGTCTTGTCTGACCTCGGCCTCATAGGCATTGGACTTGGGAGATGCTGATGTGGAGTTTGCATCTCCTTCCCTCTGAAAAGTTAGAAGTGGTCAGATGTCATCCTCATACAACAGACATCAGAATTTGGGTTTGTTATAGTGGTTCCGTACGTACAGACACATGGGACTTTGTAAAAGGAAGAATGAAGGGGCATAAGAACTGAACATTTTAGATGTTCTTAGATGTTTATTTTGGTTATTTGTTAGCAGTTAGGGCTGAGAGGAATGTAAGAAATGCAGCTAAGGAGAGAAAAGCTCCTTCTGGAGTAGTGTGGGGCAAAATCCAGGCTGGTTAAGCTAAAGATGATTGATAGGGGCCCGGGTCAATTTTTTCCTGATGGGTTTGTGTAATCTGAAAAGCTGGCTATATGAAGAAGAATGTGGCATCAAGATCAGAAGAAGACTGCGGTATGCAGATGACACAACTTGCTTACTGACAGTGAAGAGAACGTCAAGCACTTGCTGATAAAGAGCAAGGACTGCAGTCTTCAGGATGGAATACAACTCAATGTAAAGAAAACAAATATCTTCACAATTGGACCAATACACAGCATAATGATAAATGGAGAAAAGATTGAAAATATCAAAGATCTCACTGTGCCTGAATCTACAGTCAATGCACATGGAAGCAGCAGTCAAGAAATCAAACAATATATGCCGCACAAGACCTCTTGTGCGTTTAAGAGCAACGATGTCATCTTGAAGACTAAGGTGTACTTGACCCAAGACTTGACCCGACCCATGGTATTGTCATGCTCCTTATATGTATATGAAAGTTGGACAGTGGATAAGGAAGCCTGCAGAAGAATTTGAATTATGGTGTTGGCAAAGAATAATGAAAATACCATGGAGTGTTAAAGGCGCTCTGGTGGTATAGTGATTACGAGTTGGGCTGTCAGCAGTTTTAAACCACCAGCCGCTACTCGGGAGAAAGATGGGGCTT